ATTGCTGTAAATCTTCTGCCTAATTAAATTAATAAATTAACATTTGTTGGTGCCAAATTATAGCGGTTCAACCAGCTGGAGTAGTCTCAAAAGCTGTTATTGTTTTTGCCAGCGACGTCGTCGTCTCCGTCGTTGTCGTCGTTTATTAAATGCTAATTATTCAGAGACGCGCCTCGAATCCAGTGCAGCCTCTGCAGCCGCCCCCTCCTCTCCATCGCTTAAACTTTTTAGTGCCTTTGTTGTCTGCTCGTCTCTCGCGCTCTTCTCACTTACCCCACACGGGGTCTCCGCTGGCCAAGTGCATTTCCCTTGTTCTCTGATACGATACATTTCTTTGTTCTGTAACAGCTAGCCCTCTCCCTTCTTCTCTCAGCCCACCAGCAATCCTTCTGCTTCACTGCGCGCTCCTGTTTTCTTTGTTGCCATCGCACGATGGGACAACCAGACTTTTTCTCTTGCAATAATCATAACTTTTGAACCACTGAAGATATCTGAATGATTTAAAAGACGCGTTTGAAGTGAATCTTCAATTATCACCTAGTGTCTAGTCATAAAGTTTAATTTATACATCGATTCCAGAGCAAATGGCTGCACAGTTTTTCCAACACAAAAACATAATCTTTTTCATCACTTGAGTGCAAAATAACTAATTTTAAGAGAAGATTAAATGTTCCTATGAAGCTGACAACATGTTGAAAAAATCATCATTTTGTCTTGCCCCTTAACAAGTATTCAGTTATCGAAATATTTGTATTAATTTTTTTGAATACAAGTATCCTTCTATTGTTACTAAGTATGTATTATCATCTTTCTACAATGTATAATATACATACTGAGTTTTCTGCTGTTTTTTTATATGCTCATTACGTACCTGTTAGATGCCATTTCGTCGCTTCGTTTGTTTTCCTTAAACGAACTTTATTTCCGATTAAAAATGGAGGAATGAAACCTTTTAATGTTAATTGAAATCGTATAATTGGGTCGAAAGTAGTACAAAGCACTTTGGTATGTTTACAAAAATGTCATAAATATGCAAAATATAATTCACCAGATCAGCCCGTAAATAGCCCTGCAGTGCAGGGGCAGAAATAGCAGTCGTACTTTGTATTAACTAAATGGGCAACAGCAATTTTTGGCACAGATTTTCAAAAGAAATAATCTGTATAACAATTTCGCAATCTTGCTCATAAAATATGTTTCTTTTTTCACTTATCAATTAGTATACTTTTTAAGAGAAACAAATGTATTATTCTAAATGTAATAATTTGGTGTTGCTGGCTTGAAATCATAATGGACCTATCAATACAACAAGGTTTAACACTAGAGAGTTCTATAGTGAGCATGATGTCTCTATAGACATTACCAGACTTTTGGTTTCGACTCACTATGAGAAATTGTCTAATCAACTAACTTTACTCGAATTTGAGGACCTCTTCCGCCCATAATATAAGATTGGCACAGATTCAATAAAATTCCAACCTGGTATACACTATGAACACTACTCTATTCGAAAAACCCTACCATTCGATCCACTTGTAAAATCGCATATTTTATTGTTAATGAGATTCTGCCTGAGGCCCCACTGTGCGTCGCTGGCGTCGCTCTTGAACACCACTGCTGGCAGCCAATTTGCATGCGTTCTCGCACACTTGGAGATTGAACAGAAGCCAACACACACACACTCACTCACACACACACACACACACTCACTCACACACACACACACACACTCACTCACACACTTACATACAGGCGCGCTAAAGGCTTGGCACGCTAATTATAAAAACGCATTGCTTATGAAATATTTACACAAAATGGCGGCGACTCGCCGCGTTCGTACTTCCTTGTAGCTGGGCTAGGCGCCGTTATCGGCAACATTCCAGCAAATATTTGCACTACTTAACAAAAACTTGCATTTATACAACAAGTAGAACAAACACAACAGAAATTAAATCAAGCTATTGCATATTTAACTTTGTGTTTAATTACTAAATGTCTTCCAACTGTTGAATATACATACATAAATTCCCAGAATGTCTGCTTAAAAAGGGATTCTTTGAAAATATATATTGGCTTCCAGGTCCTCAATTGTCTTGAGAATACAATTTGGCCAGTATGAGATTAAAATCATCCAAAGACAGCAATCTATTACTTGATTTGTAACCAGCTTGGTAATTGTCAAGGACCTAAATAAACTTTTGTTAGAGATGTTAGAGCGCAGCATTTCGAAGGTTCTTAAATAAATTCACTGGAGTACAATCAATCCTGAAATGATATTTGAAAAAAGGAGAGAATTATTTTTTAATTACGTGTGCAAAATTTGGGCGGAATCAGATATATATTATAAGAGTCTGCATACCAAGTTTGGTGAATGTGGGTTCATTTGTCTCCGAAATCCAGGCGCTTAGTCAGACAGACGGATATGGCTCTATTGATTCGTTTCGTCATGTTGATTAAGAATATATATACTTTATGGGGTCGGAGATGGTTCCTTCTGCCTGTTATGTACATGCTTTGCACAAACCTAATATACCCTTCATATACGGGTATAGGGTATAATAACTAATAATAACATTTTACCAGCTGGTACTATATGGCTCTGGCAACAATATTTTTGTTTGGCTCGACTTCTAGGGAGTGACAGCTGCCCTGCCCCTCCTTCGTACATACATACTTGTATGTATGTATGAACTTTATAGATGGAGCTATCATAAATCAATTTTTCTTTCATATATGTATGTTTGTAGGTTTTGTATGTGTTGGTATATTCAGTTCGGAGCCAATTGCCAAAGCGCTGTTCCGTGGGTAAACGAGTTGGTTATCAAAATACTCTCAGGGGACTTTCCTCTACTTAATGGGGTTTGCTAATTCTCTACACTACATTCTACTATGGCATTGGATTTCCGGGCGTTGAGTTCCATTCTAAACAGTGAAGTGCTGTTGGTAAAATAGATAATTTGTAGATAGGTTTTTTGTGCATATACAAGTATGTAGAACATTACCAGAGACAACTATCTTTCTTGAATGACTAATAAATGCATATGTCTGTGAAATGCAATTGCATATTACATATCAGCTGTAAAACAAATGTACTTCTGGGTTGCAAATTCATTCTGATCTATGCTTTCCAGAGCTTTATTTCGATCGAGTGTGTTATTCGATATCGCTCGAAGTTGCTTTTCTAATTGCATTTTGTATTTACTCTACATAGTACATGTGTACATACATACATAGGTGCTTGGGCTGCTCGATTACACAGCTACTGCGGCGGAGACTATAAATCACTTAGCACCTGATCATTTTTTGTAACACTCATCACCAATTATTGGCAAACACGATTAAGAGAAGAAAGGGGAAAGCAAGCAACAGCAGTGCAAATCAATTGTCAGTCTGTCCTCTCTGTCCATCAGTCCGTTATTCTGCTGCAAACTCGTGCGTGCGTGCAACGTGCCCGCCCACCCAGACGAGTATGCTTTTTGGGTTTGCCGCTCAACGCTTTCTGATTTTTGCCAGTCTGTTAGTCTCTGTGTCTATTCGTCTAGCCGTCTGTCGGTCTTCTGTGGCATGCAATGTTCTGGACTGCGCTGCAGAGGGGCGCAGGCCAATTATTTGGCTAAATAAATTATAGATGAGATTGACTTGGAGATACTCTGTAGAAGTATGTTGAGCTACAAAGTATAGTGTAGAGTAGTATAGAATGTATAGAATGCTCCGAACCAAGCAACATTCGTTTTGTTTAGCCAATAAAATATCGCTTAATACATTAGCACTTGGGCTATTTATTGATTTAGTAAACAATTTTGGTAAGTCGCTAAAAGCTCTCTTCAATGAAACGCCGGCCGACAATTTTCGCAGGTATATTTATTGGTTAAGTGTATCGTACTTTCTCATTATCTCCAAAATATTGGCGTCGATGTAAGAGATGTTTATGCTTTCAAAAAGTTTTAAATATTATTTAAAAATTAATCAAGAGGTGGGACCACATGTAATTTGAAGCAAGCCTGATACAGACTGCTGCTCAGCTTAATAGATTCCACAATTCTCAAAAAAAAAAATGTTGTTTAATTTTTCTTTTACATTTTTTCAAAAAACAACATAAATGCTTACTTTTTTTTTGGCTCGTTCAGTAATTTAAAAACTGTAAAACCATATTATTATTATTTTTAAAATTCTACATGCAATTACAAATTGCAAGCAGCTTTAGAGTAAGCTATAAATAAAGGGTCTTAAACACAAGGGAATACTAATTACTTGAATTTGTGCCTTTGTTAGAAATAACTTCAAAGATTCCTCGTTTTTAATAATTTTCTTGGGCTGTTATTATATAGTGGTCCAGGGTATGTTTTATAAGTTATTCAATGGAGAGTAATTTAACTGTCTTTATGATAACTGTGATCTATGAAACAGTTTCAAAAATTGTGATTAAAAAAAACCTTTTGATGATAAGGATGGATAAGGGAGGCATACATTTATGTTTATGATATGGGTATGGATGCTTGCTTATATTTATATATAAAGCAAGCATACTAATTAATTAATTAATCAGCCATACTATGCGTACACTAATTCTGAACAACCAAACAGGCGCAATTAACTATTTGGTTGTAGAGTATAAGGAGACGAACAAAGAAAAAATATCGCTTGCATATTTTTGAATATGCAATGAAAATCAATAAGCAGTGCAGTTCCAATGGCGTCCGTTGCGCCATTCATCGTTATACACATACATACATACATATGTACATATGTGTGCGTACATTTTTTCTATGTGTGTGTGTGTGTCTTTGCATAACAGACTCTCTCTCATCATGGGCAACAAACCGCCTTTTGTTATTGCAAATTTGTTGTGGCAATAGGTATGCATGGATGTGTATGCAAATGAATGCATATTGTATAAGTGTTCTAACATAGTACTTACATATGTATGTATGTATGTATGTACATATGTATATCTGTATATACATACATAATGAAAATGTTTTCCTTTGTCTACATCTCAGGAAATTTGATATATTCATATATATGCATACTATATGTGTATAGAGAGGACACGTGGAGCACAGACAGAAAAAACACACTGAGGGCCAACAGACATTGTGTTGGGGCTCTGCGGTTGACGTGCGGTCATCCCCTCACACCACTCTAGCAGAGAAGGCACCGCCATAATCGTTCAATGACAGCTCACACAGTCGCAGCCGCGACGCTGACGACGACAGCAGCTGTAAACGCGTGCAGTTAACGCTTATCAGCCGCCCCATAATAGAAGCGAGATAAGAATTAGGCAGCGACGCTCCTACAAAGAGGTGCAGCGACGACTGAGGAGCAATCGAAAAAATATTGCAGAGGCGCAGTGCCAGGAAGATTTGGTGCTGTATTTGGCAAATCGTCTAAAAAGGAAGGCGAACTGACCGCAGCAAATGAAGTTGCAGAAACAATTGAACTCAACACAGACGCTGGCTTTTGGACATATTCTTTTTGCGACATCGCTGTTTTAGTTGTTGCTGGTCAACAACAACGGCAACACCTAACAGGTGAGTGGGCGAAACATTTAGCCACATTTTTATACGTATGTTAAGGTCGTTTGAATTGAATTTGTGTGAAACTAAATGGTTGTATTCGAATTATTCAAATTGAGTTAATTTTGTTTAGATTGTTGGGGGAGCCTTTATAGTTATTCATCAATGATTGCTGGCTAATGTAAATTTGGCTTGAAAAGAATGGCTAGGAAATGGTTATCGCTTTTGGTTATCGAGCTAGAAAATTGCTAGAAAATGACGTTCAAAACATACGCTACGAATAGCTAAAAAATGCGCGATCAAATGTCAAGAAAAACAATTATAAGTAGCTAGAGAAGGGGTAAAAAATCCGCTAAAAAAAATCCAGAACATGTCTGGAAAACTTGCTACAAATTTATAGAAAAATCGCTAAAAAAAATTGCTATAAATAACTATAAAACCCGCTAAAAAATAGATACCGTCACCTATGGTTGCCGGTCCAGCTTTCAAAATATTCCTGGAAAACCCGAAAACTACAAGAAATGTTTTTTTTTTTTTCATCATATATAGCTGCCATAGAGGCTATCAACCAACTTGATGGTTAAACTGCAATGATAATTCAATGTTAATACACTTGTATGTGCTATATACATACTCGTATAATAAAGCTGCCATTGAGATATTAAAACGCCTAAAACATATTTTCTTAACAACTTCCTTTTTCCGGTTATGGTAAGTTTTTTGGTAGCATCCGACTATAAAACTGATTAATGGCCGCCGATCCTTACTCAAATACTATTCTGTTAAAAAAAAATAGGATACGATCATAACAGAAAAATTGTGCTTATAAGAATTTTTTAAAGCTTTTCGTTCCTATGATGGCTCTATAATAGCTCTAACCTAAATAATATATACAAGTATATAGTTTTTATAAAAACAGACACGGATCGGCCCATCGACTCGTTTCGTTATGCTGACCAAAAAGTTGAATCTGCTCCCTGAAGCACTGAATGTAAGCTTCGCCAGGTTCTAGAAACTAAACATAGTATCTCCACAACCTCTTTAATTAAATATTACAGAGCAGTTTGTTGGAGACCTCATAGGAAGGCTGAACACCGATGTGAAATGCCTGAATAATTTTAATTGCAGCATTTCAAGAAAAAGTTTTAAAACTGTCTGATTAGAGTTGCACCAAGTCCGTACAACTTAGACATTCTTATTGAGTAATTTGGTGAGAAAGAAATAAGCTGTTAAAGGTGGATACAGATTTTAGGAGGTGAAGCTAAAAAAAATAGTTTGAAAACAAGAAAACAGTTAAACCATTTAAGTTATTAACTAAACGGAATAATCGACTTAATTATAATTTAATTTAATTATTATTATTATGCAGATACAGATTACAGTAAATTATATTGATTAAAAGTACGTTATAATTTTAGCTCAAAAGATAAGAAAAATTAATGTACAATAATGCCTATCGGGGACATTACCCCGATTCACAGCCAAATGTTGTCAGAGACATTATAAAGTAGATCTATGAAACTAAAAACTAAGAAAAGGAGAAAACTGAATGCTAATTAAGAGCTAATTAGATTACATACACCAATAATAATAATAATTTAATAATTGTCCTACCTAGGACAGATCTAAATCAAATATTAAAGAAAAAACTTTTATTATCTTTAATTAATTTAAATTTAATTAATTTAATAAAATGTGTTTTTAAACTTAGAATTATTTGTAAATCATAACATTTAATTCATAAATCCATGATAGATTTATATGTAATTTAAAAATATGTTAAAAAGTTATTATTAATTGCATTGTTTGTGTCTCTGCGATTATGTTCGAAATGAAAAACGTTTAACTGATGCTATGTCTTTTCAAACTTTTGCAGCTAAACAACAAACAAGAGAATCTGCAAGACCTGCAAGAACCTCAAGAACCCCTAGTTAAACCATATATCGGTGACAAGCTACGAGAAAAAGAGATATAAAAAAGCCAAGCAAACCACACGCCTACTGCTACAACTAATTAGCCAGTACAATAAAAACAAAAACAAAAGCAAATATAATAATAACAGCAACACAATATCAAACGGTTCCAAGGCAACCGCACAAAAATGGTGAAGACCTTTCAAGCCTACTTACCGTCCACAAATCGGACCTACTCATGTGTTCATTGCCGTGCCCATCTCGCCTCTCACGACGAGCTCATCTCAAAGTCCTTTCAGGGCAGCCAGGGGCCGGCTTATCTCTTCAACTCGGTGGTGAATGTCGGCTGCGGCCAGACAGAGGAGCGTGTCCTGCTCACGGGTCTTCATGCCGTTGCCGATATCTATTGTGATTGCTGCAAAACGCCTCTGGGCTGGAAGTACGAGCATGCCTATGAGTCCAGTCAGAAATATAAAGAGGGCAAGTTCATTATAGAACTGGCCCACATGATAAAGGAGAATGGCTGGGATTGAAAGCAAAGATATCAATAGAGAATCGGAGAGAGTGTGTGAGAGAGAGATTGGAGAGAGAGAGAGAGAGAGAGAGAGAGAGAGCAGCATGCATGGGATTTGAGCAGCCGATACATGGGCATGAAAATGGTTAAAATGTGAAAGAAAAACGCGTTGCAGTGGGGATCCAAGGAGCGGATGTTAGGCAAACGGTGGCTAAAGGATATGCAACGGTGTTGGCCGGCAAGATGGACTGACTGGACACAATCGGAAGGAAGGAAGTTGGCAGTCTTGAATCGCGAATGTTTTAGGGTACCACAACATATATATGTATACTATTATATAGTACATAGCTCGTCGTATCTTATAGAAGAACAACAGAACATAAAACTAGCAAAACACTAAAACATGCCAACACACACACACACGTGCAACAAACATAATCATACAAATTCCAAATTCCAAATTCACACACACACACACACATCCATCCTCTATGCAGGCTCCTCAAATGCTGTTTTCCTTACTAATACGCATGCTTGTGTGTGTGAGAGAGATCTTGAGCCTGAGGGAAAGAGAGAGAGAGAGAGATCTACAAGGGCTGTGAGTAGCAACAGGATGCGAAAAGGATGCAAAAAAAGCACAGCGCCGCCAGCTGGTCATTCGATCCTCCCCAATCAACTACAGTGAAAACTCAATTCATAGTCGCGAATCTAATTCGGATATAGATTTAGATTCAGATATGACCAGTACCCAGTACTTTCGATATAACTTCTTCTTCGTAATAATGCCAAGGTTGGTTTTTAAAACTAATTACATGCTAAACAATTTCTTGTGCAAGTATATCCTCTATATGGCTGTTCAATCAAATCGTGGTTTTGAACTATAAGTCAATCCCATAGCTCAGAATTCCTATAGAGTAAGATGATGCGTCAGTTCTACATACATACATACATATGTCTTCAAAAGTGATTCCATGATTTTCAAACTCTCTGTGCATAAATAGACAGTTTTTTGCGATAGGCCTATGGCATAGGCATATTCCCCTGAAATATTTCTCTAATTAAAGCAAAAGCAAGGGACAACAATTTCTAATGAACAGCGTGAAATTTATCTGCAAATGCAGCTACATACTATATATTTTCACTGTTATATACAAACATACATGCATACATACATACATACATGCCTGTCCATAAATAAAGAGCCCTCCACAGTTTTCTTTCTTTTTTTTTTGTTTGGTTCTTTTTATACATTTTAACACAATTTATACAATTTTCTTGCATAACAATTATATTTTTATCAAACAATTGTTAAGTAAACTGTGAAAAATTTGTTTAAAAAAATAGATTTATATATATATAGTTGCACACACACACACACACACACACATACACAATCATTTATAGCCATATTAACATATCTTTTGACAAACTTCATTCGTAGCTCTGCGTGATTTATTGCGTATATTTTATTTCACAAAATTGTGTTGTTTTTTTTTTAGTTTTGCTGTTTATTGAATTGCAAATTTGCTTTTGCAGCAGTTTAAGTTTTTTGTCTACTTTTTGCCACAAACAAAAACCACAAAAAACTTGCACTGCCAATAACGAGAAAAGTTTAAAATAAATATATAGAAAAACACATAACAAAAGAAAAGAAGATCAAACATATGCACACACACACACAAACCTACTGGACTACACACGCTCACAACCAGCCACTCGTTTTCAATGTAGTAGTTATTATATAATAAAATATTTAAATAATAATTATTTAATGCAATTTAGCTTGGACAAAAAAATTGAAACAAAACAAGCTGCAGGCCTAACTAAAAGCGCAAACAAATGCGAAAAAGAAAAGCAAATGAAGTTACAAAAAATTCAATTTAAATTGTCAGCATCTATGCGTGTAAAACCAAAAAAAAAACAAAAAAACAAAAAAAGCAAAGAAAACAAAGAAGAAGAATTTTTTCAAAGTTGCAGCTTCGAAATAGTGGAAATCGCAGGAGAAAAATTGGAACTAGGCGGAATCGACCAGAGGATGGTGTTTTAGTGAATTTTGAAATCGTTTAATAAATGTATTGTATGTCTTCGTTCAACGAATGTTGGAACGGAAGTCGAGATGATTGAGAATTGGAACGCAGCTAGAACTGCAAGAACACTTTTGTAAATTAAATCGAAATTAATTTATTGTTTTATTATTTAAATTGAAACGTATTTGAATTTCATGCGACGCATTCATATACATATACATATATGTAAGTATATGGGTACTTGTGCATATTTAATGTCTTATACATACATACATATATACATGTATATACATTTTAATTAAAAATCAAACAAGCAGCAAGAAAAAGTTTGAATTAATATGCAAAAATAACTGCCAAGAACTATTCGAAGTTAATGATGTTCTCTAAGTAGTCATAAATAAATATATAAATGTATGTATAATTATATATATATAACTACATATATGTATATATGTATGCGTACATATTACACCACATAGTACGTATATATATATGCATCTATATATGTGTATTTGATGAATATATTTTGTGGTAGGAATTAAAGGTAAACTGAAATGCGCGCATTCGATATAAACACAATTTTTAAATAAACAACAAATTGAAATTTCTTCAACGAATCGCCCCAAAGTTTTTTGAGTTTAATTATTATTTACTTGTGTTTCCCATGGTCTGCACTATGTTTTATAAACATACATATTATGAGTATTGTAATGGATTACTGGAATATGATGATTATGATTTTAGAAGGTAGAACCTAGAACCTAGAAAAAAAATCTTTAAAAGCTTGACAGAGCTCTGCTGTATAAGATGTTCGATTCTAGAGATTTGGTTAAGAACTTTCGCGAGTCAATGATATTATGTTTCCCAATTTTTCTTTTTTTTTTCAGCGAATCGGCTTAAAGTTTTTCGAATTTACTTATTTGCGTACTTGTTTCCCATGGTCTGCATTATATTTTAGTATAAGTATTGTAATGGATTACTGGAATGTGATGATTATGATTTTTAAGTGTTCGCTCTGAGAGAGTTAGAGGAAAATACTCCGAGTCAATAATATTTCGTTTGAAAAATTCTACCCCGTTTCTTTTTTATTTTTTCAACGAACCGCCTCCAAGTGTTTTGAGTTTACTTATCTTTTATTTGCTTCCCGTCTGCATTATATTTAATAAACATACATTCTAATGGATTATTAGAATATGATTGATTTTTAAAACTTGTTCTTAAAAAAAAAATTATATTCCTATCATCTTAAACAGAACTCTGCTGTTTTAAGTGTTCGCTCCTAGAAATTTGGGGTAAAATATTCCCGAGTCAATGGCATTTTGTTTGAAAAATACTCACCTTTTTGTTTTTTTTTTATGTAAAATTTTTTATTATCCTATTTAATGGATTAATGACCAATAAAAGAAAAACCAGAACATAAGAGAGCAACAAATGTGACGAAATGTATTCATGAAAAAAACCTACATACATATTTACAAAGTGTTGAAAAGCATTAATCCAGCATACATCCATCGCATGAACTAAAATGCCTTAAAAAATAAAAAACTTTAGGCAAAAAAAAAAACTAAACGGAACAAAAAAAATTCAAATCAGTCTAAACAATTTTACAAGCATATGTACATATGTATGCTGTTCTCTGTTTTTTGCAAAAACAATGTAAGAAGGCAAGTCAAAGCTCATTTGTTCATACATACATACATACCCTATATGCCGGATGTCTATTTTAGCTAAAATGAAAACTAACCAGAAAATGAATTGAAAAACAATTTAAGGCACTCGAGCAGCGCATCGTAGTTACATCCAAACATACTATACATAGTACATAATATATGTACATACATATATAAGTATTTACGTACATGCATACACACTAAAGTTCAAACAAGCAAACAAACCAACACACGTACACGTCTCGTCTATACATGCATACATACATATTCGTATATGCAGAAGGTGATAAAGCAAAATTGATGAAAAAGATGTAAAGATTATGAACAAAACAGAAACAAAAAGGGAACTTGAGAAGAAAACTTACGAAACAAGAGATGGAAGTTGTTGAGTAAGATTTTCATGATACTTATATGAAGCATTCACGGAACCACCTTTTAACGATACATACTTATACACATATACTATACATACATAAATACATACATACATACATACGAGTATATGTGGTACAGTCAGACACAGTCAAGAAGCTAGCTAACTCTACTTATTTATCGTACATAGAAACAAAAAAAATAAACATGAAAGAATTGCGTTTTAAGCATTGAAACCGTTTATTTAAAACAAAATTATATATATATATATATACATACATACTATATATATACATATATGAACGCCGAAATCTAAAATATGCAAAAAGAAAAACTGAAACAAAGAATTATATATATATATATACATATATATATATATATAGAACCGAAATTGCAATAAAGCGCGTTTTTAGCTCAAACTTCTTTCATTTGGGTTCTAAAGTTCACTTCCTGCGGAATGCTTGCGAATACAAATACATAGCATACAACTGGGTGTGCGGAATGATTTTGGTTTGGCGATTGTTGGTTGAAATGCAGAGTTATTTTATTAACAGTAATTATGTTGCCATTGCGCGATAATTTGTTTCAATAAACATGTGCAATGATTTCGCCAGAGTTTTATCGAGAAACTTGTTATTTGGGCGTCTAATACACATACAAGTACTGTATAACTTTTAGTGAAATAGTTACAGTACGAGCTCTGTAATCGCAACTAAACGAGGAAACCAGGGACGTAATGAAAAATGTATAACGTGAAAAATGATAAATGAGCGCCATTTCATGGAACATTTATTTTTGGACAAAGTGCGCGAAACAAGTTTCTGGAACATAAAGGTTTTTTTTTTAAAAGAATAGATTGCAATATTTTTTCAATACAATGCCTGGAAAATGATTATCGAGCTAAAAAACCACTAAATAATGACTTTAAAAACCGTTATAAATAGCTACAAATTGGCTTGCAAAACAATCATAAGTCGCTAAAGAAAGAGTAGAAAATCCGCCACAAAATTCCCTAGAAAATGTCTAGAAAAACCACTAAAAATAGATAGAAAAGCCGCTAGTAAATGGCTAGAAACACTGATATAAATAGCTAAAAAGCCCGCTTAAAATAAATAGAAACACCCGGTGTCAATCGATTCAGCTTTCAACACCCTCAGACAATGCAGTTCTACGAGTATTTCGCATTAAAAATATTTCTGGAAGACCACAAGAAATGGCGATTGTACCGTTAGGTTCATGAACGCATCTTCATTCCACAGCTGATTTTTACTTAAATTTATAATTTCAATTTCTCCAGCAGATCTACTTGCTGTTAATTTATGTGCACTCGTTACCGTCACAGAAAAGGTTGCCGATACAGCATTCAAAACCCTCACATAAGCTTAACCTCAAAAAAGAAAGGATCATGGATGGCAGGATGAGTGGTGAAATTTCGTATGAAGTGACGAGAGTTTAATCTGGATGGCCCAGATAGTAACCAATTCTATTCCACATTTCAAAAGTTACATGAACCAAATTTGCACACATAATTCATACACAATAGTCTACTTTTGTTTTAAATTTGATCTAAATCGGTTTATTCTAAGAAAAGTTATTAGCGAATCAAATTCTCTCCAGTACAACCCCCCTGCTGCAACAAGTTCGCTCTTCTTCTTCCTCTTTTTACTTCTGTTATGGGAGCATATAACTCAGTGACGGAAGTTTACATGGGTACAGGGTATTTCACTGTCGGGCTTGCTCGACTGTAGCGTTCTCCTTGTTTTTTTTTTTTATATGAAAAACAAATCCTGTAAAATTAAAATTATTTTTAGGCGTCCTGTGTCAATTATTAGATTAAATTCATGGCGAATTTGAAAAGAGCTGATGTTTTCTTTTATTTCAAATTTTTTTTCGCCGTACATTACGTTTTTCTACTATGGAAGGGCAGTCAAAACGTTTGCGTTGGTCCATGGATTTCCGGATTTTCAAAAAAAGCCAAGATTTAAATCCTATAGAGAACCTTTGAGAAGGTCTCTCAAATTATGATTCTGCCATTGCAATGGCAGAACCTTTTAACCTCTATAAATAGACAATAGTTATATGAAATGTAAAATATACATATATCGATTTTTAAGAAATAAAATGATTGAAAACGTTGAAAAAGCAGGCGTAGCATTCGGCAAAGTCGGCATTTATTTTACTTTCAATCCGATATTTTAGCATGTCATGTTTGAATTCAGAATATATTCAGTTTTATACAGCATTCCGACGAGTAAACACACACACACACAAAAGTAAACAGAATTAAAAAAATAATTTTTTTTTTTTTTTATCATAGTTGTAAGCGTAAAGTGGAATTGATATTTAAGTATCGTGTTACTTTTTTTTTAACGTTTTGTAAAAAATCGTACATATGTACAAGTATGTATATATCTTCAAGGCTCATTCAGTAAGTAGTTTTCAAAATGTGTTCATTCCAAATCAAAGAATGAAGCGCTACAATCTGCAGCACTGTTCAATGGTTGAGGTCTTGCACGACCAAGGAAGCATTTCCGTTTGGAGGGAACGAACCTGCTAATCATAAATTCACATTCCCTTAAGCCTGCTTCTAAGTTAGCAAATAATTGTTGGTATTGTAAATTGGCCTCCAGTTAGACGAAAACACAACATCCACTTTTTTATGAACATCTGAAAAAGAATCGGAAACACATGTCTACACTCCTCACATAGTAAGTACTGATTCAAGTTCTTAAGTGTTCTAACTAAGCAAATCTGAGAAGTGTCTATAGTCTGCAGCATCACTATTCAATACCTTTGACCCATTCCCTTGTGTAATATGAGAAATGAATATCATTAAGCAATGGAGAAGTTTTTACCCCGATAGAACTAAAAGACAAATTGAAAGGCGAGAGAGGAATGAATATTCTTTAGTTCTCTAGCTGACGACACGCGTTCGTTTATTATTTTAAACATACATAACTAAAACAAGAACACTAATCGAAGTCGCTCAGGAAGTAAGTCTCTATAGAAGTTTCTGCATTCCAGGTTAGCCAAATCCAATAAGCAATATTTTTTGCAGCACTTTTCCGCAATTGGACACCAAATGAAACGACTCGATGAATAAAACAAGCAAGGATACACATAATGAAACACGAAAAAAATACAAACTAGAATACCTGGAAACCAGGGGGACTCACTTATATAGCAAAGCAGTTGTTCTTTATATTTCAAAATTGATAACAGTTTTTACCCTATACCCGGATTGAACTTAAGCTTATAACGGATTGGACTTATCAAGTGCATGTGAGTTCACCTATCTACATAAGTAAAGAGTATTCATAGAGTATTTTAGGTTCTTCAGCAGCAGCACATAACGCACTATGACTATATAAATATAAATAAATATTGAAGTCTGAAGCAGTGCACGATTATGTGGTGACGAAAGTTAAATGTTGGTTGAAGTTCATGAAATCTGCAATTTGCTGCGCAATTGGCTCTCAAAACGATTGAATATTAGAAATGAAGAGTACTATTATATATTTTTATATTCAAAATTGGACACCAAATGAAACGACTCGATGAATAAAACAAGCAAGGATACACATAATGAAACACGAAAAAAATACAAACTAGAATACCTAGAAACCAGGGGGACTCACTTATATGGCAAAGCAGTTGTTCTTTATATTTCAAAATTGATAACAGTTTTTACCCTATACCCGGATTGAACTTAAGCTTATAACGGATTGGACTTATCAAGTGCATGTGAGTTCACCTATCTACATAAGTAAAGAGTATTCATAGAGTATTTTTGGTTCTTCAGCAGCAGCATATAACGCACTATGACTATATAAATATAAATAAATATTGAAGTCTAAAGCAGTGCACGATTAAGTGGTGACCAAAGTTAAATGTTGGTTGAAGTTCATGAAATCTGCAATTTGCGGCGCAATTGGCTCTCAAAACGATTGAATATTAGAAATGAAGAGTACTATTATATATTTTTATATTCAAAATTGGACACCAAATGAAACGACTCGATGAATAAAACAAGCAAGGATACACATAATGAAACACGAAAAAAATACAAACTAGAATACCTAGAAACCAGGGGGACTCACTTATATGGCAAAGCAGTTGTTCTTTATATTTCAAAATTGATAACAGTTTTTACCCTATACCTATACCCGGATTGAACTTAAGCTTATAACGGATTGGACTTATCAAGTGCATGTGAGTTCACCTATCTACATAAGTAAAGAAGTATTCATAGAGTATTTTAGGTTCTTCAGCAGCAGCACATAACGCACTATGACTATATAAATATAAATAAATATTGAAGTCTGAAGCAGTGCACGATTAAGTGGTGACGAAAGTTAAATGTTGCTTGAAGTTCATGAAATCTGCAATTTGCGGCGCAATTGGCTCTCAAAACGATTGAATATTAGAAATGAAGAGTACTATTATATATTTTTATATTCAAAATTGGACACCAAATGAAACGACTCGATGAATAAAACAAGCAAGGATACACATAATGAAACACGAAAAAAATACAAACTAGAATACCTAGAAACCAGGGGGACTCACTTATATGGCAAAGCAGTTGTTCTTTATATTTCAAAATTGATAACAGTTTTTACCCTATACCTATACCCGGATTGAACTTAAGCTTATAACGGATTGGACTTATCAAGTGCATGTGAGTTCACCTATCTACATAAGTAAAGAAGTATTCATAGAGTATTTTAGGTTCTTCAGCAGCAGCACATAACGCACTATGACTATATAAATATAAATAAATATTGAAGTCTGAAGCAGTGCACGATTAAGTGGTGACGAAAGTTAAATGTTGCTTGAAGTTCATGAAATCTGCAATTTGCGGCGCAATTGGCTCTCAAAACGATTGAATATTAGAAATGAAGAGTACTATTATATATTTTTATATTCAAAATTGGACACCAAATGAAACGACTCGATGAATAAAACAAGCAAGGATACACATAATGAAACACGAAAAAAATACAAACTAGAATACCTAGAAACCAGGGGGACTCACTTATATGGCAAAGCAGTTGTTCTTTATATTTCAAAATTGATAACAGTTTTTACCCTATACCCGGATTGAACTTAAGCTTATAACGGATTGGACTTATCAAGTGCATGTGAGTTCACCTATCTACATAAGTAAAGAGTATTCATAGAGTATTTTTGGTTCTTCAGCAGCAGCATATAACGCACTATGACTATATAAATATAAATAAATATTGAAGTCTAAAGCAGTGCACGATTAAGTGGTGACCAAAGTTAAATGTTGGTTGAAGTTCATGAAATCTGCAATTTGCGGCGCAATTGGCTCTCAAAACGATTGAATATTAGAAATGAAGAGTACTATTATATATTTTTATATTCAAAATTGGACACCAAATGAAACGACTCGATGAATAAAACAAGCAAGGATACACATAATGAAACACGAAAAAAATACAAACTAGAATACCTAGAAACCAGGGGGACTCACTTATATGGCAAAGCAGTTGTTCTTTATATTTCAAAATTGATAACAGTTTTTACCCTATACCTATACCCGGATTGAACTTAAGCTTATAACGGATTGGACTTATCAAGTGCATGTGAGTTCACCTATCTACATAAGTAAAGAAGTATTCATAGAGTATTTTAGGTTCTTCAGCAGCAGCACATAACGCACTATGACTATATAAATATAAATAAATATTGAAGTCTGAAGCAGTGCACGATTAAGTGGTGACGAAAGTTAAATGTTGCTTGAAGTTCATGAAATCTGCAATTTGCGGCGCAATTGGCTCTCAAAACGATTGAATATTAGAAATGAAGAGTACTATTATATATTTTTATATTCAAAATTGGACACCAAATGAAACGACTCGATGAATAAAACAAGCAAGGATACACATAATGAAACACGAAAAAAATACAAACTAGAATACCTAGAAACCAGGGGGACTCACTTATATGGCAAAGCAGTTGTTCTTTATATTTCAAAATTGATAACAGTTTTTACCCTATACCTATACCCGGATTGAACTTAAGCTTATAACGGATTGGACTTATCAAGTGCATGTGAGTTCACCTATCTACATAAGTAAAGAGTATTCATAGAGTATTTTTGGTTCTTCAGCAGCAGCATATAACGCACTATGACTATATAAATATAAATAAATATTGAAGTCTAAAGCAGTGCACGATTAAGTGGTGACCAAAGTTAAATGTTGGTTGAAGTTCATGAAATCTGCAATTTGCGGCGCAATTGGCTCTCAAAACGATTGAATATTAGAAATGAAGAGTACTATTATATATTTTTATATTCAAAATTGGACACCAAATGAAACGACTCGATGAATAAAACAAGCAAGGATACACATAATGAAACACGAAAAAAATACAAACTAGAATACCTAGAAACCAGGGGGACTCACTTATATGGCAAAGCAGTTGTTCTTTATATTTCAAAATTGATAACAGTTTTTACCCTATACCCGGATTGAACTTAAGCTTATAACGGATTGGACTTATCAAGTGCATGTGAGTTCACCTATCTACATAAGTAAAGAGTATTCATAGAGTATTTTAGGTTCTTCAGCAGCAGCACATAACGCACTATGACTATATAAATATAAATAAATATTGAAGTCTGAAGCAGTGCACGATTAAGTGGTGACGAAAGTTAAATGTTGGTTGAAGTTCATGAAATCTGCAATTTGCGGCGCAATTGGCTCTCAAAACGATTGAATATTAGAAATGAAGAGTACTATTATATATTTTTATATTCAAAATTGGACACCAAATGAAACGACTCGATGAATAAAACAAGCAAGGATACACATAATGAAACACGAAAAAAATACAAACTAGAATACCTAGAAACCAGGGGGACTCACTTATATGGCAAAGCAGTTGTTCTTTATATTTCAAAATTGATAACAGTTTTTACCCTATACCCGGATTGAACTTAAGCTTATAACGGATTGGACTTATCAAGTGCATGTGAGTTCACCTATCTACATAAGTAAAGAGTATTCATAGAGTATTTTTGGTTCTTCAGCAGCAGCATATAACGCACTATGACTATATAAATATAAATAAATATTGAAGTCTAAAGCAGTGCACGATTAAGTGGTGACCAAAGTTAAATGTTGGTTGAAGTTCATGAAATCTGCAATTTGCTGCGCAATTGGCTCTCAAAACGATTGAATATTAGAAATGAAGAGTACTATTATATATTTTTATATTCAAAATTGAAGGTAATTATTTATTTGGATGTGAAAATTTTAAGTAATGAGTGTGTATTTTAATTATTTTGGTATCAAAATTTTAAATAATTATGCATTTGGATACGCGTAATAAAAATTATAAAAAAGCAAAACTGAATTTATTTCACAAGTATTGAGACTAATTTTTCTTTCAGTCATAAGGGAGAACAAGAGAGAACGCTATAGTTGAACAAAAAAGGAAAATTAAAAAAACAAATAAATATAAAAATCATTAAAAAATTTTTAATTAATTACTAAATTAAATAAAAAATATTTAATTCATATATACATATAAAAGTGAAGACATGTTTATGTACAGTTTCAACAGCATACATTTACATCATCGTGTCTATGCGTGTTTATATGCGGCAGCAACAATAGCTGCGCGCAGAGCTTTGGCAGAGAGTATATTTATGGCTATAACTTTCTTCATAATTAACTTATCGTAATGATACGGACTCATAATCACTAACTAAAATTATGGAAAAAAACACGAATTGCCGGAGGGTCGGGGGTGTATCAGAAAAAAACACAAACCCGTCCTTTCTCGGGCTTCGGAGAATCTGGATGCCAAGTTTAATTATTCTAGCTCTTGTACTTTCTGAGATTCTTGCGTTCATACAGACGGACGGACGGACGGACGGACAGACAGACGGACATGGCTATATCGACTCGGCTTGTCACCTTGATCAAGAATATATATGCTTTGTGGGGTCTGCCACGCCTCTTTCTGTGTGTTACATACAATCGCACAAAACTAATATACCCTTACGTTCTTTAAGTACAGTGTATAAAAATGCGTGCCAACGACTTTCTGATGTACACAGGATTCTAAGGATTGCCAGAGTTTGTAATTAATATTTAAAACAAGTTTTAAAATGCATACAATTTCTTAATGCAAAAGGGAAGTACTTCGGTGTACTAATTCGAAAGGATCTATTTCTATAAATTGATCTGCAAAATCAACTTTTTATTCCAACGAAGTATGTTAAAATTGTGCTTATTGCTGTCACTTTTATTTGATGATCTCTCCAATACATCTTCCAGCTTTAGTCGCTGTTTGATTGAACGACGAATACATTTTTCCTCCCACTAATGAGCATCATTTCATATATTCCGACAATATTGAGAAAATCAATTCTTATGCATCTGAATATAACTTTCTATAGGCGGAGGATATCAGATAGGTCGAAAGTTGCTAGCAAAACTCACTAGCTGGGAAAAACTTTGACAGGTTACTTGTATGTATTGTTTAATGCTTTAATGGTCTTTCCAGCTTGTTTTGTACGATGCCGTTACCGTTGCCTTTCCATGCTTGTATTTTATGTATTATGTTATGTATTTATTAAGTTATTGAAACATGCACGCTTGTGTGGAACATCCCTGACATACAAGTATAACAGATAAGGCCCACTTCACTTTGCTATGAGCTGGGCGCATATTAACCAAACTTGCAGTGGCGTAACAATGAGGTGGCAGGGCTGGCAAAATGCCACGGGCCCCCGACCAAAGAGGGCCCCAGTCCAGAAGGCCACGAGCTCAAAAATATGTTTATACCCTGTACCCGTAGGGTAAAAAGGGTATATTAGGTTTGTGCAAAGTATGTAACAGGCAGAAGGAAGCATCTCCGACCCCACAATAAAGTTTATACATATATTCTGATGGATCTCAGAAACTATAAAAGTTGGTTTCCAGGTTCTCCTAGGTCCGAGAAAGGACGAGTTTTTTTTATTTTTTGGAATATTCCCCCCTTCCCTCGCTACAGATACTGTCCAATACTGTCCACCTTTTTAAAGCTACAGTAACCAAACTATGCACAAAAATCTATATACAATTCTATAGTTTTGTTGTTTTAAATTTCATCGGAATCAGTCAATTCTATAAAACTTATTAGCGAAACAATTTCACTCCAGTACTACGCCCACAAACTGCAACATCAAGTTCGCTCTTCTTCTTCTTCTTTTTTCTTCTGTTATGGACGAAAATTTGTCTGGATACAAGGTATTACACTGTCGGGCTCGCTCGACTGCAGCATTCTTTCTTGTTTTTAATTTTTCTAGGGTTCGATTACAACATGGCATGTGCTTTTTAATATAATTGGCGCAGGCTTTTACTTTTTTCAACATCAACATACTATTATATTCATTTACGATTTTTACGTGAATTTCCTGCAATATATACTTTTTAAATGCGTCTTCTAAGTATTTGTTGCAATCCAGAGTTTTGCGGAAATGAACGTGATTTTTGCGGTTTCAGGCAAAATCAGGCAACAAAACATTAGATCATCATTAAGAAGACACTTTAATGAACATTATTGTATTCGTTGCTACGACAATCCTTCGACTCTTACACTACGAACCAACACTACTTTGAGGTTAAGCTCGCCCAAAACAGCACATTAGAAAAACAATTAAAACAAAGGACATATACATACATACTTTGAATATTATTTTCCATATTTTACTTTTATTGTTTAAATTGGATTTCCCATTGTTGTAAGCTTATGTCATATGTTATAATGTTCACTAAAATAAACAGCCGAAAGAAACGGCTTTGGGACTATTGTGCAATGGAAGGGAGCTAAGTACTTAAAGGATTGTAAAGTAGGTATTGTCTTGAAATGGGTTAAAATTGGCAAAAGAAATTGCTTCGAAACTCAATAAATTATTTAATATTAAAAATAATAATAATTTTTTTTGTAATACGCCCCAGCTACTTATTTCGATCTAGCAAACGAAGTAGCAAGTCAGGAAGTTTTAAGTCAAGTTTTATGTCATAGAGGTAAAAGTTAGCGATACTTTTGGGAGAATTCTTGTTATAAGCATGAGAGGAGATGGTTACAAATATTGGTAGAAAAGTCTAAAAATAATGCAATATAGTTTTTTCAACAAAACATATTTCGCACTCGTTAATGTATCTGTTATTGGCATATATTGAAGTCTTCGATTCAAGAAGCATTGGGCAATAGCCTCTTCCATTTCAAGGTATACAAAATATTTTAGCGTTTGCCGTTTCTTTACTATACATATAGTATATCTGGAAAATTTTAAAATTTCACATCATTTTCTTTTTGATTCCCTAAATTAAATTCATTTCAAATAGCAATGGATGGCATTGTTGGCCTAAGACCATTTATGAAGAATATTTGTGGAGTAGAGACGTGCCAAATGACTTACGAATTTTTAAAATTAAATCCAATATTTGAAAACTCTTAAAAGTTTTCACACAATCCTATTGTTTCTAGGGCCTGGCATAGCTCAAAAGGCTAAAAGGAATCCCAAAATGTGAGTATACCATCAATTATCGCAATTAAGCATGATTTAAAAAATTACTTACAGTTTAAAAATTCTGTGAGAGTGGTCTCACATATAGAAATATCAAAACTGTCGTGTTATGGTCAAAACTGCAGGCCGATTCGCAACATAATAGTAAAAAAAAAAATAAAAAATAGTTTCTAATCCAGCTGCATCTATACTATTATCTGGGCATTTCGAATATCATACATACATACAAAGAGATTGCTTTACAAACAACGGGAAGACATGCTTGTCCTTCCATATAACATGGCCATATCATCAAACTACAAACCACTCACACATCAAACTAAACGCAATAAGCCCTTTTCAAGGCTGTAACCAGGGAACTAAGGGAATCGACTGCGTTTTAAAACAATACAAGTATCCGTCAAAAGAATTGTGAGAAGACATTTTCATCTAGCGGTTAAAATGATTTTTACGTTTGCAGCGCTGGCCATGTTCTAATTATAATAAGTATAAGAAGAAGGTGGCGCAATCAAACGTAGATTTTTATTTTTAGCTCACGTCACACATCTGGGCATTATTTGGATTGTATGTACTTACTTGTATATAGAAAGCGATGAAAGCCAAATAGCTTATTGAGATCGGATTCGAGAACTTAACAGATTGAAATATTTCGAAGCAATCTATATTTAATTTCAACGAACAGGAAAAGGAAGAATTCTCAAAAATTCGTTTATTCTAAGGTGCGTATATTAATTGTAAAGGTATGCCGACTAGCGAAAAACACAGAAGACACTAAGTAATTGAAACGCTTTTACGTTATAATCGTAATGATTTAAATACCTATTCAGTGCGTTCATCGCTGGGATTGCAGTTTTGACAATAAAAGAATCACATACATTTAAGTTCCTTTCAAAAGGAATTTAATACAAGTTTAGTTTGAAACGTTAAAGTGTTATTAATGTGGGTGTTCCGCTTGGTTGTGTGTTCTGAGTGAAGCCCAAATTGTTTGTTTGCGTTGGTATTTCATTCGTTTGCAGGTATTTCATTCATAAACTCAAATATCGGTGTTTGTCTGCTAATAGGGGGAGTGCGAGACCGCTACTAGCTATAGAAAAGTGTTTTCGTCGCAATGATTCTATTTCCATTTGTTCTTCTCGTAGTCCCACTTCGAGGACAGCCCTGTGATGGGCTGCATTTCCAATTGAATGATGCGTCGAAGCTGGGCCTGACGGCGTTCTTCCTCAAAGGTTTCGGGAAACGGGCCGTACAACTTGGCACAATAGCTCAACGAGATAAGGAAGCCGATGGCGCAGGCCCACAATCCAATGCCCACAATCAATTTCCATTCGGGCGTAAAGTGCTGGAACTCTGCATAAGTCTGGCCGAAGCTGTACCGATAGAGGGTCTTCTTCTCCTGCAGCGACAGCTTCTTCCAATCGCTCAGCTCCTTCTCACGCAGAGCACAAATTTCGGGAGTAGCCTCCTTATAGCGAATTGCGGGGAAGGGGAACTCCACGCAATCGATGTAAATGGGGCTCCCGTTCACTCCATAGCCGACTACTTCGCGCTCGCCCGACATGCGGCGCGTTGCGTCGGCGTGTGTGTAGCGCCGCCAGATGGCGCTGCCAGCGCCACGACCAGCCGCGGGCAGGACTTTAAGACGCGACTGCAGAAAGCGCAGCACAGACATGACTGACAAGAAGAGGAGAAGGGATTAAAATTAATGCCAATGTCCTGAGACTTTTTATTGTAGGTCTAGAATAATTTGCCGAATATTTTCCCCTGTTGTTTTTTTTCTCTTTTCATTAGTTGCTTTTCTCTTTTTTGCTTTCTCTCACCTGTGTGTGTCTGTGTTTGGTGCTCTTTGTTCTTGCGGGCTATTGATGGCGTCTTTGCAATTTGTTGGCAATTTGTTAGCTACGCTTCCTTCGTTCTTTCCTCGTTGCCGTCCTTGCTCTGGCATAAATCTTACTGACTGTCGTTTTTTATTACAGCAATTGACAGCTGTGTAGGGTTGCCAAGTGGACGTAACAGGCGAAGGCACACACACACACACACACGCACACACTCACATTCTATTTAATCAAAATTGCCTGCGGGTTGTGTTTGGCTGGCCGGCCGGCCGTTGGTTGGTTTGCGGCTGCTTGGGCGTGTTGTTTTTCCACCCAAAACGATGCCTTTCCGAAAGTGTCGAAAGCGCAATTTTACATTTCACAAAAGCGAGGCTAAATTGGCCAAGGAGCAGCTACCTCTCCCCCTTGCTCCGCCTACCCGATATCAGACCAACTACATAAGTGGCAGCAGCGATGAAGCAGACTAAAAAGAAATCACCAAAATGGAAGAAGAAGAACAAATGGCCAACTAATCCTTTCCCTTGCTTGCAGTGCAGTCAGTCATAAGAAAAACAAAAAATCCGAAAGTCAGTGCACACTGCATTGAAATCGAACATAAAGGAAATCAAATAATACGAGGGGTTTTTCTCGCTACTTATCTCGCTTAGCTTGCTTGCCGATCTATTATGCAGTGCTGCCATAATTTTATAAGCAAAACAAGTTAGATTTTCAAAAAAATGAAGCCAAAAAAAGCTAAATCTATGGCAAAATAAGCTTTAAAAAAACTGGTTTTAAAAACACTATTTTCTTGGTTAAATTTAAGGAAATATCTGTTTTAATGTTTTCATATTAGTTCTAAGTTCTTATTTCATAATTTATAATCATAATATGAGATTCTTGTAATACTAATAATAGAAAATTCACATCAATGAACTGAAGTTCAAAATTTTTAATTCTGCACTTGATTTATGAGTACATTTAAACTAACTGCCTCTTCGTCAGGATAATAAACGTGATTGCTTACCGACATTGTTTATACACATTAGACATTTCTAAACGCAGCGAACACAACTAATAAAAGTAACAGCTGATGCTCGAGCGTCGAGGTAATTTTGATAGATTTTATTATCGAAAGTCGTTTATCGCTCATTCATATTCATATTCATGATTTGGAGTCTTGGCACAGATAAAAAAAATATATATATAGCAATAAATAAAGTAATGTTAAAAAAGACTAAATAACGCTAGAATTGCAGCTATTTTCGAATTTTTCACGCACTGGCATTTAAAATAAGCCAGATTTGGCTTGCAAAAATTCTGATCCATTTCCAATAGTGCTGGACGAAACATCGATGTAGCAGCTATGTTATGATATTTTTTTGAAACATCGATATTTTATTCCCGATGTTCGATATTCTTTACTATTTGTCCACCACTAAATTTTTATTTTTGTATGTTATACTTTCTTTGGTTTTTGTTATATTCTTTGAATTTGTGAAAATGTTGTTTGTTTTGAAACCTTTTATATTTAATACAAACCTTAGCTTTTTAAATAATATGACAAACCAAAATGAAGTTCCCTATGCTTAAACACCAATAAAATGTTTTTGAAAATTCGCTTAGTAGAAGTTTGATGCATTGATAAATATATGTTCTTCCCCTTAAAACATCGAAACATCATGTGGGTAAACATCGATATTTCTGCAGCTCTAATGTCCATACATGCCTGTGAATATTTGATGTCCCGTTAGAATTGGTTTAGTTTTTTCTCTAAGGTTATACCAAATGATTAACATATTTAGAAATAAATTTATAGAGTTGTGATCACTTCTAAAAGAGCATCGTACCAGTTCAGATTTGCGAAAATAAATTATTAATTACCATTTGGAAGGTTTATCGAAAAGGGACATTTCCGAAAAAGCTGAAAAAGCTCAAACAACAATTCAAGAAATAATAAATAATTCAAAATGAGCGCTTAATAAAAGATAAAGGTGGAAAAGGTGCAAAAGCAAAACTGTCTTCCGCATCCAAACGTTGGATTTTGCGGCAAATTAAAAGAATCCCCAGACAACTGCTGTGGAGAAAGCAAAAAAGAAATTGGCTTGGATTGCAATGTTCATGTCACAAGACAAACCATAGAAACCGAGTCCCACGTATATCAGTGGGAAAGCAAAGAAATTCTAAAGATTAAACATACAGGATCGCAAAGATATAAAGATTATTTTAATTATGTACAAATGTATTTGCTCCTAAAAATATAAAGCAAGAGGGTTTTATATTTATTCGTGTGAATGCAAGTGGAGCTACTCACCAATTGTAAAAGGGGACAAAAAATGTATTCCCAGACCTTTTATATAATACTGTACACTCTAACCCAAAACTTTCTAGCTAGTTGGACGATAATATACATAATATTCATACTTTTTGTTTGACAACAGAGCTGTATTTTTGGGTTTTTATTTTAAAGAGTCAAAGCAACGAATGGTAACTTATACTCGTACGTTTAATATTTGGGAGTAATAGCTATTAAGAGCTAGCATTAAACAAAAAAAAAGTTTAATAGAGCAATTGTTTATACACCTACTACCTATCGTTAACTCAATGTTACGAAATGCTTGTCCCACGTAAATAAAACTTCACTGAAAATCGAATGCATGTGGAAATCGAGACTTGCATCCTATCGACGACCATCGACGATGATTTAAACAGTATGCATGGATGTTTTCCGATGGTTTTTGCTTCTGATCCATCGATGTTTGTCGAACATTTTTCATGTTCTGTTGTATTTAATTTTTTTTTTAATGTCTATTTTGTTGTATGTATATATTACGATTATTAACCAGATGAGAGCTTCATTTGGATTTGTACAAATTGTTAATGTTTTGTGTTAATTGCAGTATAAAAAGTATGGGTATATTAAGTGTGGTTCTTAATATGCTTAAAATGCCTAACTGCAAGGTGAATACGATTACTGTATTAGTTAATATGTTGATTTTCTTTTTAATACAAGCCTCTTTTTCTATAAAAAGTTTCATTTGGCCGTCGATGATTGATGTTTTCCTTCGGCATAGATTACGTATTTTAAGCAAAAAATGCCAAAGTTTGCTCGCAAAGGAGCAATAACTTTAAAATATATATTAAATTTTAAAAATTAAATCCAATATTTTAAAACGCTTACAATTTTTCCCACAATCATTGTGTTGCTAGGCCAGCTATATTAATCCAAACATAGGTACTTTTTGAGCATAAGGATTTCGTTATGCCAAAGTTTTCTGGCATGGTCACACTTCTGACCCAATGTGCTGTGCACAAAAAATAACATGTAGAAGACAGCCAGAGCAGTAGCTAAAAGAGTGAACACATTGTCCCTTGTCAAGTACCCCGTAAGCCAAGAAACCTAAAACGAAACAGTTGCGAAACTTCTTCTGGCATTGGGTTAGCCGCTTCAATTCTGACGTAGGTCAATTTAATTTGAAGAGATTGTAAAGTTGAAACGGCTGTATCTGCCACATGCACGCACACACCCGCACCCGCACCCATAGCCACACACACACACACACATCCACATTCATACAAGTATTGTCTTTATGGTCTGATACAACTTGGACTTGAACCGTCCTCTACATTCTTTTGCTTGCATTGTCACGTAGTAGCTGAGAGTTTTGCGGAAGGCTGATGGGAAAGGGTAAGGCGGGACCGGACCGCATGGGCGTTTTGTGCGCTTGTCAGCAGTTTCATTATTCTATTTCTGATGCTGCCATATTGAATTTTTGAGAAACCCCCCAAATAAAATGTCGCTGTCGGTACACAATCATTGTCTTGATTTGTGCGTCTTACAATGCGGCAAGCACAACAGTGTGCTTTTTATCGTTTCACAAAATAGTAAGTAGCACCATAATCAAGCACAGCAGCAATCCGTGGGTGTAAGAGTATGAATCGTGAATAACTGTGAACTTTAGGAGCTCGTAAATGACCTTAAATGGGGAGAAAGGTGAAAACTTTGCGACCTACATATTGCAAATCGAATAATCGGGCTATTTTGTATTTATCTGAATCAACCCAACTAGGGTATATCACAAGCATCTCGAATAGCTACTAAACAGTTTACAGTTACTCGCGGGAATAGTCTTTAATTAAGTAATTTAATTATGAACAAATAATTGGAATGAAAACATAGAGTGTGTTTTTCTCTATCCTTTCTATTTTGCATGAGTTATAAAATTCAAGACATTCAAAAAGAAGAATCTGTTTTTTTTGTTCTACACTCTTTTGGATAGTTTATCGGTTATCGGGAATTCTTACATCTGCTTTAACTAATCAAGTCTTCTTTTATACTGAGCCCAGTTAGTTCTTCTGGGATTGTGCGATTATTGTGTACCGCTTGTATGAGATCTGAAATTGAAAATATTGAGCTTTTCTTGTCAAGAAAGAAGAATGCCTCATTTATTTTCTATAGCGCTGGCTTAGTGATCTAAGGCGTCCCTGATCCACTGAACAAACAAGACGATGAAAGTTTAGTGTTTTTCTTTTATGGAAATGTGAAAACCTTTTGACGAGGTAAGACATTTGGTGATGAAAGTAAGACTGCAACTTACAATATTTCTAATATCAATCTATGACGTAAGATAAACAAGGTAACCAGTGTTTTTATACCCTGTACCCGTAGGGTAGAAAGGATATATTAGGTTTGTGCAAAGTATGTAACAGGCAGAAAGTATAAATATTCTGAATCAGCGTGACGAGAGAA